GGGTTTCGGTCCCCCTTCTTCCGAATTTTGGCGGTTATAAGGAAAAAAAGGGAGGCCAAAAAAATCCGAAAAAGAAACCACCCCACCGTAATTTTTACCGGGCAAATAAAACAGCCTACCCCATTCTTCCCTAATTTTGGCCCAACACGTTTGCCCGCTCCCTCCCTCAGATCTCTATCCAAATGGACCTCCCCCCCCCCTTTTAACGCTCAACCCGTATAAAAAGCCGAAGCCTTTTCGGTTTTGTCTCACTTCTTTCATCTCTTAGTTGGTGGGGGTTTCTTCGTGATTGTCTATCGGTTGTTTCAGTTCAATGCAGTGTTGATAACTGAAGGAGAAAGCGATAGACATGGCGACTTCTTCTGACGAGGTGGTGAAAGTGAAAAGGGAAGAGCTTGAGACATGCATGACATGTTCTATCTGCAACAAGCTTTTCAAGGAAGCTACCACCATATCTCTCTGTCTCCATACTTGTTAGTTCCTCGTTATCGTCTCTTTTATCTCTTCCTCTTGCTTATCGATCGTGTCTTTGTTTTCCATCTCGTTGTTTTGGTCGATTTTGATTTGGATTTTTGGCCTTTGTTTGGGCGTCGTGGAAATCTGTGGGTTGTTTTTCGTTTTTGATTTTGGGGGTTCGTTTGTTTGAACGATTTTGTTGATCGGTTTATCGACACGGTTTTGTTTGTTGTTTTTGTTTATGCATTTCTCAACTTTGTATCTTTACTGGTTTATCTGTTTTATCGGTGATAACGGCGGCTGCAACCTTTAATTGACATGGACTAACCTTTCCAGTTCTTAATCTTCTGTTATCATTTCATGTTTCATTTCAATTTGATCTGGGTTTGTTTTTTTTCTTCAATTTATCTCCTGTGTACTTCACATTATCGCGTACACGTACTTGACTACGTGGTTGCAGACATATATACATACACCTCGTATATACTGTTCATGTATTTTTATGGAGGTGTAAGTATTTATGTACGTTATGTATATTGTAATATTTAGTTAGGTAGGAAGAAGGATTCTTCAATCGTATCCATGTCCGGCTAGAAACAATTCAAAATTTTGAATTGTTGGGGGGAAGAAGTTCAAAGTCTTGAGTTCTTTAATGGTTAAATGCTTAAACCGTTTTTCATTTAATGAATTCTTTCTTTGTTTATAAAATGCTTTACTCATTCTTAATATGAAGCAACAGGTGGGTAAGATTCTCTGGAGATACGCGTTGTAAGTCGTTTTCCTTTTTGTTTGTGCTATGTTTTTTAAATCTGGTTTCTGTAGATAAATTCTTAAGCTTTCAAATGATTAGATTACAGAAGTGATTCTACTATTAAGGCCTGTGATTTTACACGTGCATGTATTGTTACTGTTTTCTGGTCTGGAATATAATATATGACCGTGTCACAAGGTGGTCAAACACAACTACTGTTTCCAACTCTAGGATTGTGAGGTACTTCACGCCTGTAAAAGCCTCTATGTATTTTGGTGAACTCGAAATGACTAATCTGCCTTATCTAGCTTATGTGGACGACACCTGGATTTGGGTTTTCGATATGAGCTCACTGTACACATTGAAGTATCAATTGTCTATTTTATGGAGACTAAATTTTCAAGGTGACAGGTATACTCTTAAAAATGCTTGAAGGAGCAAGTTGATTGTGTCGCCTTCAATTACTTGCTGAACAATTATATGATGAATTTTTAATTGATCTTCCTGTAATTCTTTTACTGTTGTTAGTGGTTTTTGTAGATTGAGGAAATTATATTTGAAGTTTATGCTTCTCTGAGGTGTTCTTGACTCTTCCAATGATCAGATTCTAATTATCAAAATTTAAAATTTGAACTCAGTCTGCAGGAAGTGCATATATGACAAGCTATCAGGAGATGATGAGATGGATTGCTGTCCTATATGTGATGTTGAGCTGGGCATTAGTCCAACCGACAAACTCAGGTTAGAAGTTCTGTCTTCTTACTATCTACAAAATTAATTCTTTGTTAATCATATAAGTAGAGGTATGTTTATCGAGCAAA